CGGAACGGGAAACATTCGAAGGGACAACCATGTCGTTTGCAGTTGATTGAAAAGATTTGTAATTTGCATATTGATGATATGTAGTTAATGTAGAATAGAAGAAATATTAAAAACGACATATTGTGGTTTTAAGAAAAAGGCGGCATTCGTTAATTGCGGGTTCCTCGGATAAACTGAGCTATTCTGTTTCTTCATTTGCGGCTGTGTCGGCTGTTTTTAATCAGAAGTTTTTTTTTGATAACAAAAAAATGTTTCGCTGAAATCTCTCACACTAGAATCAAACATGTGTGTGGAATAGTGAAGGACAACAATGAAGGATTTTCCGAAGTCGCTTTCATCATTTCAAATTTTATCTAATCCATGCGAGTTGTTTTCTATCTAAAATTATAGGACACAAAAATACGGATTTGCAAGAGTAGATTAGATAAGGTATTTGATTTACAAGTTACCATTGTTCAAAAATGTTTCCCGGTGACGGCAACGCAATAAAAAAATAGTTCAATGTATTTTCATCGATCGTCCCTATTAAAAGTGAACTTTCGTCAATATTTGTGACCCACTTTATACAAAGGGGATTCAACATTTTTAACTGGTTTTCAAAAACTAATAATATCATCGAAGACGTGGAAATGTTTTTTTTTTTTCAAAAGCAGGGGCGTACCGTTTTGAAAAGAAGCGAACGAAGAAAAAGTGTTAGGATTATTTGACAATACATGTTTTCAATTTCCCGGCGCCATGTATAATGTTATCACGCATAGGCAGCGATGCTTCGTCAATGTCATTCAAAAAAATCAATGGCACTTTGAAGTGGAATCAGAAATAAGTTAAAATAAATAGAAAATTATTAAAAAAGCCTTTATATAAATTAGTAGCATGGTAAAATGTAAATATTTAGTTTCAGGAAAGCGTGTGCCGATTTAAAAAACAAATCAAACAGTTCATAAATTGATTTGCATTCGGCTAACTTCGAAGAAGAGCGTTTTATTTTTAGTACGACGACGTATATTATTAATTGGGCGTCGATACGATTTCGTTTTTTAAACAGTTTTTTTTTTTAACCAGACATCATGACAAACAAAACCCAAAAGCTTGCCACAATTAAGCTCTTTCCCCTATCTCTTTGTTTTTCACTCGGAAACTTCGTTACCGCAAAAAAACTTAGGAAATGCCAAGAGACAGGCAAGATTTTAATATTTCCGCATCTAAAAACCAATCTTGTTACTAGGATGACTATAAATTTTGACCAATTAGAGGAGCAGGCATTTTAAATCTGTGCGATTTGAGCGTTGCTACCAGTTACGACCATTCAGTTTTCCAAGCGTAGAACGCGACTGACTGAACCGAATCATGGAAAATTATCGCTTAACGTCTTTGGGAAATGCTTGTTCGTCTTGGAAAAACTTGTCTTAGTCAACCTTTCTTGAAACTTGTCGTGCACTGTTCCAATCCATATGATATGACGATATCAATGATGTTAACCTACGGTTAACCACTTTAGTCACCATCTTTGGCTTTTATTTTGAATTTATCAAATTATGTCTTATTTTATGGTACACTAAACTGTTATGTAAGATATTTCAAAAGACTCTATATCTATAGTGTCTATCCCTTATCTGTCAGTTAGTGGGATATATATTCTTCCCCGTAACATCTGAGAAATGTTTCCCGAAATGTTTCGGACATATTTAAAAATATTGTGCTATTCGTCTAACTTTGTTTACGAGTTTTGAATAATTTATGTTAATTTTTTAAAGCGCTAGTGGGGTCGAGTTAAGCGTTGCATTAAGCACGCGAAATTGACGGAAGAAAACTGCAATTTCAAAAAATTTCAAGTATTATTGATGGATAGATTTTTTTATCGCCCGGTATTTAAAAAGCCGCGGGTAAAAGACCTCTTTATCTATGGCGTTATCGGAAAATATTTATCGCACTACGTTTATTTATTCGTTTTATTTTAGAAATTTGTATTCTGTGTGTCAGTATAATCATCCGAAATTGCAGCAATTGAGACGCGAGCATTGTTTGACTGATAAGGAGTTTATTGTGAGATACGTTGTTCTGAAACATTTTAAAGCGACAACTATCGCATAGTCAAAGCGTATACTGTTAATTAAATCGGAAATAAAAGTTGTATATACCAACGGCGCTCATTTAAATATTATAACTTAAAAATTGTCAAAAAAATAAAACCAAATAAAAAGACGCCTAATCCAAGACTACAAACAGTGATCTATAAGCAAGGAAGGAAAAGGACTAACTAAAGTACTCTACTGAGTATAGGCATTTATTAAAATTTAAAGGCACATAAATTATCACACATTTTTATTTCTTTCGGTAATAGGTTAAAAAATCTCACACCAGTTATATTTGGGATTTTATAAGAACTGTCATATTTTGCATAAAGTCGTCTTTAGATCTTGTATTTACTGAGTGAAAATTACTGTTCACCATACACAAATAGACTATACAATATTAAATTTTTTAAAATAAGTTTTTACAAGAAGTAGATTTTAATATGGTCCTTTTTTGCACCACGAACACATTTGTCGAATCAGTTGACCATCCCCACAAAATTATACGATACCTAATTCTACTTTTAACATGACCGCAATAAACACTTAATATTTGTGATTCTGTTAAAATCCTTCCGGTTATGTAATAATTTGGCTCCCGACCCCAATACCAAAGAAGAGGGGTAAAATATTCGAGTCGTGTTCCAGATAAGTTGCTACGTGAGCTTGTTCCGATCCCTGCCTGCGTCCTAGTTCTCAGAACGTAGAACGTAGAAGGATCAGTACATTCATCTCTCTTGTCACAACAATTTTCTTCGTATACTTAGCAAGCGTTGATTGTAGTAGCTGTTTCTTGGAAATCAGGATTTAAATAAGTTAAAGTGCTTGGTCTTATTCCTGTGGAAATAATTGCAGCAAGAAATGACAATGTTAAAATGTGACTGCCGATGAGGAGTTGACCTGAATAAATCGGCATCGATAACTTCAAATATGTGATGTTCTTCGAATTTGTCTATGAAAAAGAAATCAGATTTTAATTCTATTCGGATAAGAGGTTCGTGTTGGCTTGACACAATATTCTCGCATTGATCCAAGTTCAAAGTAAATACGCTCGTGTAGAAAGCCATAGAAACCATTTGGGAGGGCCAAACACGGTTAGGAAAGATAAAAGTTTATAGGTATGTGCTATGCGAAAACATTTTTGTCGATACCGTTTAATTTTATGAGCCGGCGAATAGATATTCTCCCGATTTTTCTTTTACTCCCACTTTTCCCTTTTCTCGAAGGTCGAGCCGAAAATGTGCGATAAAACCTGTTCCCATGGAAACAGCAATTTCCCTGGATCGCCGTGAATCGAAACGATATACCGAGTTCTTTTACATTGAATTGAAATATGAAGTATGCAATAATGTATGGTAACTGATTCAAATCAGATTAATTATTTGTGAAGTGTATGACAAATCCATTAAAGTTATTGATAGTAGATAATTGGTAGGTACATAGAAAAAGTCAACTATGCCCGAAAATGAAAATTTTCAGGAAAATGGAAACGAAATTTATAACGACAGGGAGCGCATGCATTTACAACTTTTTCAGCAAATTTTTTGTTTTCAAATAGTCCAATATCCACTTTTGTTTAATGGCGTCAAATATACAGCTAAAAACATATTGAAGTGATAATCCCGATTTTATCAATTTTGGCCAATTGGTTTTTCCCCCTACCCTTCAATTTATATTATTAATGTCAATAACAATGATAATCGACCTATTCGAAACTGAGACTTGAGTTAGACTGACTTTTTTTCTATCTGGAAATCTGAGAAAGAAGATGCTCTTTGCGTTCAAATGTTTACTTGACCGTGGGAGTAAAAAGTATTTACATGTTCGATTAGAAATGATACTATGAATAGTATATATTATGCAACAAGTGCGGTATACGGCATTTGACTTACATTTTCGCAAACCAACACGAAGGCGGTAGAAAAAAGTGTTTGTGTTTAGGATATTAAATTATATTTATGTCTACTCCACATAAGATTTGTTTGATAAACAAAATATATCAAATGAGGAATATACTTACGAGCTCATTAAGCGATTAAATGATCCATTCTCAAACTCATAATACCGAAGTTTAGATAATAATGGAGACGGTGGTCAATCGCATCCAATGTCTGATTTTACAGTCACAACTCCTAGAGTCTCCATTTTTAAATGGAAATTTAATAGACTGTAACCTTGCATACTCAGTATTCTTCAATGATTCTCTTCGTTATCTTCCTTTGCGACGTCTTAGTGGACTAGCTGGTTCTTTTTTACGCATCATCACATTCCGATTCTCCAAAACAGCATGAAGGGAACTACTCAGACTTGTACCATTACTTCCTAGATAGCTTGCATGCTTCGATTGAGTAACGCTGTTAGTCTTCGGTTGACGATTAGAGCAAGCAGTTGTGGATGGAAGCTATAGTACTTGTTTCGTCAAAATTTCCTGCAATCAACCACATTTTTGGTTGAATATCAGCTATTGTTCTTTGAGAATCGAGAAAGTATTGTTAATGTTATGAAATACTTGATTTGCAACAGACAATTTATACAAGTTTAACAAATAAATTATATAAAAGCTACGATTCAAATCTTCCATATGCTAAATTGTATCCGGAGATGCGTATTGCAAAGGCGTCTTTTGTTGATAAACATTAAAGAGTGTGGTAACATCAACAAATGAATAATAATTTACTGAACTCTATTGCACTCTGACATTGATAATTGTTGTTTTTACGAAGCGCCATTACATGCGCTATTGCGGAGCTATTTTTAGCCGATAATTTTTATGCCGAGGATATTTGCCGGGTTTTAATTTATAAGCGAAACGAGATCGATATTTGACGGAGGTAGCGATTTAAGCGACAGGTTTTGATTCGACTTGATAATGTCGCAACTATGCGAGCGTCTTTCTTTGTTTTAATCGCCATTCTCTTGTTGTTACAGAAGAAGAAGCATATCACTGCATGGCTAGCTTAGTTTCGTCGAAGGACAAAACTTTCATCACGCAGACGAAATTATTGTACGAAGTGACGTGGAAAACTGTAATGCAAATTTGCAGAAAGCACGTGGTAAGTATTGGCCCTCTGCTACGGTCACTACATGCGATAATTCATATTTTTCATAATTGTCTTGCCCGATGGATCTATCTGAAACAAATTGCCACTTTAGAATTTCTAATTGAACGCCGTGTATATTATTTAAAAAATATGTGTTTTTTCTTAGACTAAACATGCATGAATGTGACATCATCTCAGGTGTGTCAGAAACTTAATTGGTTAGTGTGCTTTTTTTATGGATGTTTTAATGTTTTTAAGACGCTGGTATTTAAAACCCCGTTGGAGAAAGTTTTAGAGGGACATAGAAATATTGTAGGTCAGTATTGATCTGTTCGAATGTGTAAAAATTTAATTAATTTAAATAAAAATTTGGTGAAAATTCAGCGAATAGTTTGTTTGAATACTTTCTTAAAAACTGCGGGAAGTTCATAGATATTGATCAAATTTCCTAAGAATTTTGTGTAGAACTTGGCTACCCTGTATATTTTACGGCAAAGTTGTAATATAACTTTTTGAAGGGGCCGGCATGTAATAACCCATGTGCCGGGTTTGAATACATTTTAATAAGCCGTAGTTATTGAATTAAATGTGATAGCAAAATTGCAAAAGGTCAATAGAACAAACAGCATAGAATATTTTCCGTGACGCCATTTCCAAAACTGTTAGATAAAGGTTGGTTTACAAGACATGCACATTTGGTTTCATACATTCAACGTATGTTGATCAAACTCTACTCGCTTCTTAAGATCTCCTTGGAATGCGTTCTTGGGATGTATTTCATCAAAACGACGGCTTAAGCAACAAGGAAGCTTCAAAGGACGACTATAAATCTAACCATCAAATCTTTTATTATAGATCACACTTTTCAAGTGACCCCGGCGAGAGGTCAGTTGACCTGGGTGGCCAAAGTATTCGACACCTTGGGCCGATAACATTCCCGTTAAAAATATTTCCCAAATAGTCTCTAACCGTACGGGCGGGACAACCATCCCATCTGGTACCAGATTTCCTGATCTTCCCTAGCAACTTCTAGTGCGGGTTCAATTTGATTTTGTCCAAACAGGTTAATGGTGTGATAATGGGCTAATAATATTATGTCCGCAAATTGTCATCATAACATTTATTTTTTGAGGATATTTTCTTCGAATATGAGCAAAACTGTATTCATTGTCTAGGCTCCAATACCGACGGTTTTGAACATGTGGTGCGTCGTTAAGTATGAATGTACAAGTAAGCAATGAAACAATTTTTTTTTTAAACCCTTTCCCGTATTTCAAAACAAAATGCTACTCTTCTTTCTTCGTCGCCTTCCCGGAGCTCTTGGTGCTTTTCGAATGTATAGGAAAAATATTTGTGTTTTTTCAATGTGCGCTACATTGTAGTTTGCAGCTTGTCCAAGAATCCTCGTACTTACTTGCCATTTTCTTTTTCTTCACATACAGTGAAATGTTTAAATCCCCATTGTCCTTTTTTTCTGCTCTATTGTCGACATTTGCAGTTATTTATTACGGTGCATTTGGACTAGAATTGGGTTTAATTGTTGAAATTTATGGTATAGTTTTAGCGGGAAAATAAACTGGAAATATTTCAGATACTGCTATGAGAGGGATTACTGCATAATACCACGTAATTATGGTTACTTTTCCTTTAATAACACTGGTCTGCAAAAAAAATTTTTTTTGCAGACCTTCTTGTTTTCATGCATGAATTCATCTTATTTTATGCTCTAAACACGGAATTTGATATACAAATAAGTACCACACGTATCAAAAAACGATATTATTAAAGTATAAATTATTATAAGGAAATTGAAAGATGTGGCGGCTTGAGTTTTACAGTAAAAATATGGCTTATAAGCTGTTTTAACCAGATCGATCATGACATGTCGATGTGTTTTTAGTATGTATGCCCCACAAATGTAACAAGAACAATCTGAGGAATTTTTACAAGTCCGTGGCATTTTGTAACCTAAAATCACATAAAATTAATTTTAAAACAACTTTCAAACTTCTATTTTATATTTATTGGCTCTACTTAAAAAAAAAAATACTCAAACTACACATCAAATACTTAAATCCAATGTAGAGAACATGAACTTGATGCAAAACTTACCAAAATATTTGATATAAAAGAAACAATTAAACGACAAGTTTTCACTGAACTGTTGTAGTGTCACAATGAATACTGCGCATGCGTGTATTTACTACCATAAAAATCACCTTCGGCACTTCCCTCCTTTCTCTTACAACTCTCTGAAACTCATTTTGCATGTATATTTACTTTTTGTAACGTTCACCAATGAAAAAATTGGTGAAAAAATGGTGAATCTAGACTTGATAAAAAAAATCGGGCAACGGGGATAGATTCAAAACGTTCGAATCATTATATTTATTATAAAAAAATTTAAAGGAGGATTTCATTTCCAACCAGTGTTTTTATATTATGTATATATTTAGCATTAATTAAAGCGCGTTTAATAACGCATGACAATCACAAATGAAAATATTGTTATTGTCACTAATTTTCATCATGACTGGCTTCCTCAAAAGGTTATATTACAACTATGGTGTATAATGTACAGGGCAGTCAATATATGAGCAGCTAAAAATTTATATGAGATTTCCTATCTTCCGTTCGGCAATGGATCACCCGGTATATATTAATATATTATATTATTATCAATATGTATAGATTTATAAAAAAGAAAGGCAGTTTGAGAATTGAATAAACGAGATTTACTATATGGGTTGCATTAGGAACGGTGTCTATATACAATTTAATGGGGTTAGAAACCTGGTAAATACAATTTAAATTTGAAGGTTATTTTAAATATGTCATGCGGAGAGAACGACACTGGGGTTGTGAATAGGACAGGAAAGCAGGAAAAGAAATTCTACTTTGTGGGACACTTTGGCATTCACATTCTGGCGATTTCTTCGTATATGTTTTGCGACATTCAAAACTCCCCACCTTTAATTGTAAAAAATGGACGTAAGAAGGATAAATTGCGTTATTACAAATTAAGCTTTTTATGAATAAATCTGTATAACGAGACGTTTTACCCAAGATAAGACTAATTGAATTTTGCATACATATCTAGCCGATGCCGTTTACGACAACATAAATTATATGATTACTAAATAGGCGTGTAATTTACCAAATTGCCCGCGGCGACATAAGTCATCCCAATTAATGGATATTCCGGCCCACAAAAATGGCAACGATCTAGTAGAAATGGAAAAAAAAACGCCATAAATAAAATTAAGAATCAAGCGTTTAACATATATTTATATTACGGTTAGTGCGATTACTCGTCCCGATGCGTTTATCCAATTAAGCATTCATTGCAAGTGGGCATTTAATATATATGTCATTCTGCGAGGCGGAAAAAATAACGCTCCACAAATTGGATGATAAAGCCAGTGGCATAGTCTAAAATGTCAAATAATAGAGATAAGTAGATATAGAGATGTGATATTAGTGAGCTATAATTTTTGGCCGCGTTGTTTATAGCTCCAGCATTTTGAATTTTCTAAAACATCAGTTTAGATCTAACCAATATTACAATGCGAATGAAAGAGTTTTGCTCCAGCCTTATCTTGAAATATGATGTAGAATCTGGCTGCCTCACTATTCACAATTTATATGGATCAAATATAATATTCACTGACTGCACATACTTGTTTCGAAAAATCGAATTTTTCGAAAGTATCTACGTTCGTATAAAAATTTTATATCTCGGTAACGGTAGGTCCTATGGGATCGCCATTTGTACCGTCGAAAAAAAATTTTTTTTTTGTCTATCCGTTCTCCGTTCTCTGTTCTCGTCTTTTGGTTTTTCCTGAATAATTTTCGAACCGTTGGAGTTACAAAATTTAAATTTGCCTTCTTTTTAACCCTCCATACATAAACATAAACTTGTAGGAAATGGCTTCGATCCGACGCCGGCATCCATATTTTATTCGCGATTTTCGACTGTTTTTTCAACATTGCTATGAAACACGATAAGTGTCCGAAATTCGAAGTAATCAACTTCATATTTGGCACATATATGCAGCTTTGCCCCGTGATGGAACCTATTGAAAATGGGGGGGGGGGGGGGGCAGGGGGTCGGGGATTATTTAAAAAAAAAAAAAAATCGCTTGTGCAAGGGGTCTACAAAAAAGATCATTTTTCAAAAACCGTTTCGAAGACCGAAAAAATTCTTGAACCAGAAGACAGAGGATACCGCTCCATAAACTTTTATTCTTGACAATTTTTCAAACATATACAGGGTACGCCGCAAATTATTGAAAATTGGCAATAATTTAAAATCAGTGTTTTAGATGTCAGTTTCTTTTTTGTATTTATGGTTTTTAAGTATTGTACAGGGTGTTCGCGATATTCCGTGCAATATTAAAAAACGTGATAATGATGCAGCCACCGAATTCAGATTTGGGAGGGAAGTAGAAGTCCGGACCAGCAATTTATACTCTTTAAATTGGGAGCAATAAAATAACGCGAAGTAGTTTTTTAATTTTTTTTTTTGTTATTTAGCCTTCCAGTGAAAAATCTTTTCCTCCAGTTTAGTTATGGACGAAAGACCCTGAAAATTGTTCTTTTAGGGAATAAATTATTAACCGTAAATCAAAATTCGTACAAAAAAAAGCTAATCCGTTCAAACAGTGTTATAGGCCGTATCAAGGGCAACAATTTTTGTATTTACGATTTTCGACTGACGCTGCTCGAGATATTTGAAAAAAATCCATTTGAAAATCGCAATATTTCAATCTAGACGCGATGACATCATTTACTATTAAGGTGTACTGCATGATTTCAGAAAAGAGGTGTTTTCTCGATAACTATTTTTTCCTATTGAAAAAATTCGTACTTCAGGAATCGTGGGAGATCTGGGGCTATAACTTTTACTTGCGGCATTTTTTGGATTATGTACAGGGTGTGTCTGTTATTTGTAAAAGAAACACTTAAAATTAATTGGGAATCGCTATAATTTGTAAAAAATTTTGAATTTA